TGATATCAAACCGAACAAAAGGATAATCCCTCTCAGTAGATCTGGGGCCTCAAATTGACACAGTAAGGACACCTTTCGGGACAATATGGTGATGCTCAAAAACAAACAAAATTCATTTCGAAAAACTTTTCAAAAAAGTACTTCTGTCGGGTCAATCGCTGAGGCAGGAGACGAACGCCAGGATCGCCAGCATTCAAATTCATTTGCACATTTTCTTTGACAGAAGTCCACTGCCGGAGAAAAGATTTAAGCAAAAGAAAAACCCGTTGCTATCAGTAAAGGATTTTCCCCGTTTATGGAGCTGATGCTTAGGTAAAGCTGAAAGCGAATAAGAAGGTAAACCCGGCGCAGGAATAAAATCGAAATCGAAAAATTGTACGCGGAGCAAAGTAACTACCACCATGCGATTGCAGCACAGGTCAAAAACAGCATGGAAAAGTTGCCAGTTGTACTGTAGTTTTGCAGAATCGAACAGTGTAGAAAAATGAACTGATAATTTTAGAATGCTAAGAAATTGCGAAAATTGAGAAGCCAAAATCAAAAAAAATCATGAAAATGAGTGGAAAAAAGGTAAAAGGATTACGAAAATGAGTGGAAAAAAGGTAAAAAGTGAAAAAAGGTAAAAAAAAACTAACCGTAATTGCGCTCGTTCTGGCGATGCACACAAGTCTCGGGAATTCTCCGCGATTTTTCGTTGTTCCAGCGAATTCTCCGGCGCAAATTTTCCTTCCTTCCTTCCTTCTTTTTTTTTGGAGGGAAGGCCTTTTTAGGATTGTTTTGTAATTTTTTTGGTGGAAAACAATGAAATTTTCCCGGGCAATAAGTGGTGGGGTTTTTTTTCGGAAATTTTCAGCAGTTTTTTAAATTTTTTTTTTGGATTTTTTTGTTGAAGCGGTCACAAGAAACAAACGGCGCTCGGGCGCAGTACTGGATGAGTGGTTGTCCAACGGGGAAGGCCAAAGGTCACACACAACACGATCCAGACACACCGCAACGCACCGACTGCTTGCTGCTCCTGGGCCGCTCGGATTGGGATGCCAATCAACACTAGCGCCTCTCCAGCTGCTGCTGCTGCCGCCGGTCGATACACACGCAACGCGACGCGACAACGCAATGCACCGCCCCCTGCTGCTGCTACCTATAGCAAAGTGTGGAACGCCCACTGCAAGTCCCGCAACGATCGCGGAGCA